ATGACCTTTGTTTTAAAAGAAAGAGTCAGGATGAAAGATGGTAGGTGGAAATTAGGACGCCGATAATTATATTAAAGGATTTCAACTTAAACCGCATTTAATGATACCATAATTAGTTTACAAAATTTATTATATCTATTAAATAAAGTAAGTTAAGATATTTAAATAATTTATTATTATTACACGATGTATATATAACTTCATTCTAATTATATTTACATGTTTAATAAGTTTATAGATTATGCATGGTTGATGAATAGTGAACTTAAAATATATGGACTAACTCAAAATATTGAAACAAATGAGTATATGTTAGTATATAATGAACTTAGTTCTAAAAGACAAAATACCTGGAATGGATTATGTGCCGATTGCAACCGATACAATACTTATAAAGATTGGTGTCTGGCATGTGACATTTATAAAACACAAGGATGGACAAGTGGAAATCATAACGTTGATAATTGCATTAAGGAACTTCAACTTAAAGCCACAAAATATGAGAACGTGATTGAATGGATTCCTTTTAATAGATTAGTTAATGTTCAAATGATTGGTAAAGGGGGATTTAGTTCGGTATTTTCCGCAACGTGGTTAATGGTAAAAGAATAATTTCAGGTGCTAATCAGTACGCACATTCACGTACACCATCATGTGTAGTTGCACTTAAAACTTTACCTGATTCACAAAAGAATTTTTTAAGAGAAGTATGTTAAAATTCTTTTTATTTATGTCTAATATATATTGAACTATTAACATTGATAATTTATTTTATTTTTAACAAGTTTAAAAGTTGCACTGAATGTAGATTAATGGGCAATAATCTTGAAGTATATGGACTAACTCAAGACACAACTAATAATAAATATTTGATGGTATTTCAATATGCAAATAGAGGAAGTCTTTATAATTTTCTATCTTTAAATTTTGATCATCTTATTTGGGAAATTAAATTAAAGCTTCTTATCGATATATCAGGAAATTTAGCAAAAGTACACAAAGCAGAATATGTTCATAGAGACTTTCATAGCGGTAATATATTAGTAAATCAATCTATTGATGGTGATCTAATATCTTATATTGCAGATCTAGGATTATCTAGAAAGCAGGATGATTTTGATTTGAAAGATGATGTTTACGGTGTTTTTTCTTACATTGCGCCAGAAGTGTTAAACAAACAACCATATACAACAGCAGCTGATATTTATAGTTTTGGTATTATTATGACTGTGATGTCTACAGGAAGACCTCCTTATTTAATTATCTTTATTCTTATTCTAATACTAAGTATAATGAAGGGTTAGCTTTTCAAATATGTAATGGACTACGTCCTGAATTTGCTAAAGGCATTCCTGAGTGCTATATCCAACTAGCGAATCAATGTATGGATGGTAATCCTTCTGATAGACCAACTGCATATGATATCTGTAATAAACTTTTTGGGTGGTATAAGATATTAGATAATAGTAGTGCGGAAAATAAAGATGAATTAGCAATATTAAAAGCATTCCAGTCTGCAGATTCAATTCAAATGTTGTCAACAGAATTGCTTAACTTTAAAAATTTTTCTAAACCAATTAATTCTTCATTTATTTCACCTGCAAAATCGTTAAATATTTATGGTAAACGTTTACTCTTACTATATGTTAAACTTTATTAGATAAAAATTTTACTTTTAATTTTTTTTTTAGATTCTACTACTCTCGATTTTTCAATTTCTAATGACTATTATAATGATGATATTTAATATTTTTAATTTACTGATATATAACGATAAGAATATTCATTTATCTATTTAAATACCTTTATAGACAATGATGAATTATTATAAACAACAAATGAAGTTTATTTATTTATCCAAACTATCCGGTAAATACAAAGTAAACTAGTGGTGGCAGATTCGTGATCAGATGATTTCTGATCGTTCTGAACCTAATAATGCAGCCAGAATGTAATATCAACATAAAAAATTTATAAAAATTTATGCAATGAGATATATTACTGTATTATTAATGTTAAACTCGTTTCTATGTTCAAAGAAGTGCTAATAATTACTGTGCAAAATGATCCCAAATAATCTCACACCTAGAGGTAATGTTATACCCGAACTGCCTCTTATGAATCCAGTATAACTAATTTATTTAGAGACGGATACGTTAGACGATTTGATAACTGCCGTGTTTATATGCTTAAGTAAAATATATGATTTAGTGCAGTTAGGGTTTAAGTAATTTGCAGTTACGGGACAAACGGTTAAATTTATATGAAGATACAAGTAGTCGTATAACAAGTTTATTGTTTATCGAGTTATTCATGTATGAAGATACTATAGCCGTAAAAGTGCGTATACCAGACCCTGGTATCGTACATCCCACCAAAAAAATTAATTAGTAAACAAAGAAAATGAATAGCAAAAAATGAAGGTGGGTCTAATATATGAGGGGTCTTGGATACGCACTTTTACGGTACACTTCTTTATCTTGTTGACTGTTCTTAGGTCATTTATACATTATGACTATTGGCTATTATATCTATAATAAAACTGATCTATTAGCATCTTTGGTATTAATACATCACTGTTATCATATTACATGAACCAACAACACAAACTCTTTAAAACACATTTGCTAGCCAATCAAATCTCAAGATCAGGTGTAACGTGGCACGATCAGGAAAGTTATTTTGTCAAAAATCACGAAATTTTGGTATAACTCTAACCCTGATACACAAGCAAGACGTTAAACCCTAATCTAATTGCGAAATTTTTTAGACTGGTGATACTTGATTGTTATTTACAAATTTCCCTTTGTAGCACAAACATTATAATTGCTTTACTTAAAGTCAAAATTAGTGTCATTTTAGGATTAGTAAGGGCAGAGTGTTTACTAAAATTTGCAAGGAATTTTTTAATTAGAACATAAAAAGCGGTTTCTAAGACAAAATCGATCTTTAAAAAAACATCACCAAATTTCACGTTACACCTGATGTTGTTATCTACATACAAAAATTTCCTTTTGGCTTTACATAACGGTGGGAAATAAGGGCGTGCGTGAAAGTGTTTAAAAATTTTATATGCGTATATATAGAGTCTTGTCATAACGAGCACTGGGTAATAGTAAATTGATTGGTAATTGTTACATGTTTCTATCATAACATCATAACATGTTATTTGATTTCATGTGATAAACACGTTAACATCATGAAAATGATATAATTATTTATACAAATTGCTTTTATCAAGTACTATAAATATCGACGCATGACCATCAACGATGTCAAAAGAAATTAAAGAAACCAGTTATATCATTATAGCAACCTTAATTGTCCTGTGCACATTTCCTGTTAGCTTTTCTTTATTATTTTGGTACTGGTTTTTCTCTAAGTTCTTTAGGTATAACACTTGTTTTTTCTCTTGCACAATGTACCAATGTCTTAATCTGATGTATTTGAAAAAAAATTTTGGAAAACTAAGGATGTCAGATTCATTAAAGGAGTTTAGTGACAAAACCCAAGAAAGTATTATCCAATGGTTCAGAACAGAAAAAGTGATGATGATTGTTATATTGATCCAATGTTATTAATCATTGAGTGGAACGGTATGTTCAAATATAACTAATAATAGTGTGTTACACTTTTTAACTATTTTTTATTTTATTTTTTGATCAGTTATTCAAAGTTTTCTTGGTTGTCAACTGGTTTCAGATCATACGATGAATGTTGGAAGGAAAAAGTTAGCAATCCATCTTGATCGACGTTTCCCCCTATGGAGAATTAACTTATTTGTGAAGACATCGTTGCCCATCTTAGGCAAACTTATTATCAAGCGAATCAAGCTTCATTGGGAAGAGTGTTTGAGATAAAGGCTACAGTGAAAGGTAGATTTGAGATTAGGGAACGCCGTGACGTATTTTAGTCTTCTAACCAGAGGTTGTTACAGTAAGGTTTTTGCTATTACAAATAAAATTTAATAAAACTTGTGGTCATCCAAACATAACAAAATTCAGATGTATGTATTATGCATATATGCTAATTCGAAATAAACAAAAGATACTTGTGAACAACGATAAAATTGAAATTAAAGTTACAGATCTAGTGTTCAGTACATGTATAATTTATGATTAAAGTCACAACTCCATAAATGAACGTTTTATAAAAAATGCACAGTATAATCTGGTCCCAGCTTATAAGAGCTCTATATGTTTTAAATGATACCCTCTCTAAATGTGCTTTTTAATTTTTTTTTCTTTGTGGCCCCGAGGGTAATGCAGAGAAACGTGCAATAATATTGAAACACATTCTCTGTCCGTTCATCAACACTTTGGGTAGACCTGTTTGCAACTAATAGACCATGAACGATAAAGTTACATTTTTCGTCATTATGATAATTTAACCATAATACTTTTCATATTGACTCAATGCATTAGTACTTATGGAATTTGCATGACTATATTGAATACACGTTTGTAATCAGATTCGATAAAATTAACATATGAGTGCTGTCAAGGAAAAACCTGCCACCAGACGCATCAAATAGATTAAATCCTGCGCGAAATATAATTGAAAGCCCGATGACAGGTTTTCTCTTGATAGCACTCATATAAATCTGCAATCCCGAAAGGAATTTAAGAAAGATCCTTCAAATGTCCTGCAAGTTATACAAATTTGAATACGTTTAGAGAACCTAGAGGATGAAATCAAGAAAAGGAAGAGGTCGATATTTCTGGTTCAATTTTAGTTGTCAATTCAAACTGTCAAGATGCTGGGCCAACATTACGAACCATGTTAGATAAAATTCAAAGATCGGTATAAAGTAACAAAAACAATAGCCATCCCTCAAATGCCACGAAAGAAAAGAGAAAAAATAAGCACTGCTAAAATCCACCTATACTATTTAATTATCAATTCTAACCCTAAACACTAACTTAACCGTAAAAAAAAAGCTACCCCAAAAATTTTTAAATTTTCATATCAAAATAGGTCCAAATTTCTGCATCAGCCGCGACAATTATTAATAATTTGATTGAATATCCAAGACAACTTTTGAATTTATAAATTGTTAATTCATATCAATACCATAATGTATACACGTAATAATCAATTAAATTCTAAATTCAAGCATTAATAAAACTTCATTAACACCTTTTATCAAAATGCTAAAGACAGTTCTTAGCCCAAATCGACTTTTTCGCTTATGAGAATCTAGGTTTGACGCAAAGGTATAATTAGACGGGTATTGAAATAAGTGATGTACCTATCACTGATTACGTGGCATGTAAGTTCGGGTTAAAATTATATATACTAATATGAGTAACTGACATCTGCTGTATCAATATCTGCCAAAACTTTCATAATAATCATGTGTCAAATATACAATTAAACCATAATTTGTAAGTTAATTGTAATGTAAATTGTAATCAGGGAAATTTTTAGGCCAAATCGATATTTTTGCAATGTTTAATGCGGTGTAACAATACCACTTCGGGAAAAATTAAGTGTATAATTTGGGTCGGACAACACAAATTTGGCCAACCTGAACTCATAGGCAGAAGTTTGTCTGGTTGGCTAATAAATTCAATTTAATTTTACATTATTTATACAGTTTAGAGTACTTTTTTAAAAAACGAAAACCAACCATAATAAAGTAAAAAAAAAAAAAAAACTATATAGAAGGTTTCATTAGAGCTGTAGGACTCTATAGTCAAAAATAAGATCTAACTCACGTCCGTTTAAAAAAATTAGTTTAGTTATAAGTTGGTTTTATCGGGTTTTGAGAAGCTATTACTATACTAACTTTTTTAAACGGACGAAAATCAGATCTTATTTTTGGCTATGGAATTCTACAGATCTAATGAAATCTTCTATACGGCTATTTTATTTCTTTATGATTAGTTTTCGGTTTTTTTAAAAAGCACTCTAAACTGTATAAATAATGTAAAATTAAATTGAATTGATTAGCCAACCAGACAAACTTCTGCCTATGACTTGGATAATGTGTACCAGGTTTGTGGCGCATACAAAATTCTTAAAACTCGTTAAGGTTAGGGATATGGACAAAGAAATCAGAGGGAGTAGTTTATATAGTAAAATTTTCCAACAAAAACTTTTGCTAGAACACTAAAGGTGGTTTGAAATCTAATTCGTAGTTTAGGGATACGTCACCAACCTGGCACACATATTCGTGTGCGAGATTATGTACCCATAATTTACATTTCAATAGTACATACATACGTACGTACGTAAAAGCAGATAACTTAAAGGATATCAAAAAGTTTTTCTGTATATTTATTTTTTACAAATGATATCTTGTTTTTAAAAATTATATCGATTTAAAGTTTTTTATTTTTCGAGAAGTTAACATGGTAATAACTTAGTTTTATCTATTGTATTTATAAGAAATTGTTTTTATGCTAACTTCTCTAAAACAAAAAAGGCTGTTCAAAGTTGATTAGTTAGTTAACGTCATCCATAACTGTCCCCGAAAATTAAACAGCACAGCATATATAAAAAAATATCTACCTAAGAATTTTTTATATGTATTTAAACAAAAATTTAATTTTTACTATGTTTATTAATAAATTTTTATTAATTCTGGTAACCCACTTTAAATTGCATAAATAATACGTATACGTAACGATAAAATTAAGTAGACTTAACAGCCAATCATGCGAAAGTTCACTTATGAACGTTTTAGTGTTTGTATTACCTACGGCGTCATATAAATATGATTAACAGCATTGTAATGTATTAAATCTTTATAATTATGCTCGATGAGTCGCTTGAAATAAATAGTCAAAATGGAAATTGTGCAAGTTGTAACCGATATAACACATCGCCAGCTTGGTGTCGAACATGTGACCCTCAAAAAACAACACAATGGTGGACTAGTGGAAACAAGGATATCGATAATTGCATTAAAAATTTTCAACTTAAAGCTACAGAATATGAGGATGTAATTGAATGGATTCCTTTTAATAGATTAATTGATATTCAACTAATTCTAAATATCGGCGATAGATTTTTGGCAACGTGGTTAGATGGAATACGATATGTTGATTATGAATATGATTATGAATATAAGCATATACAATCACGTATACCATCGTATAAAGTGGAACTTAAAATATTAACTAGCTCACAAAATTTATTAGATGTATTAAGAAAAGTAAGTTAATTACTAATTATTGCACAGCAAATATATTGTTTGATTTAATTTCTATTTACATGTTAAATAAGTTTACAGATTATATACAATTAAAAAGTGAACTTATAGTATATGGACTAACTCAAAACGCTGCAACAAATGAATATATGTTAGTCTTTGATGAATTTGGTTCTAAAAGAAATAAATATAATGGAAAATGTGCAATTTGCAACCGATATAATACATCGCCAGCTTGGTGTCAAACATGTGATCCTCATAAAATACCACAGAAATGGACATGTGGAAATAAGGATATTGATGATTGTATTAAAGAATTTCAACTTAAAACTACATCCTATGAAGATGTAATCGAATGGATTCCTTTTAGTAGGTTAGATGATATTCAAAATACTGCTGATGGATTTTTAGCAACCTGGTTAGACGGAATACGACATGTAAATTATGACGGTGAATATGATAAATATACACAGTCACGCGTACCATCATATAAGGTGAAGCTTAGAACATTAACTAATTCACAAAATTTAATAGATTTTTTAAAAGAAGTAAGTTATATTTGATTTATCACTTATTATGTATAATTGTATTTCATTTAAGAACATATACAT